TGCTATTCAAGTCCTACACCTGGTAGCTTAAAACTCACGCCAGGTGCATGTGATGTGTACCCAAAATACCAAGAGGAGAATGGAAGAGTAGGGATTGTGGCATGGCTATCATCCCTGGGGGAGTTGCTTTTTCACTTTCTCTCTCTCTCTATCTCTCTCCAGTGAACACACATGTCCCATAGCAAAAAACAAAACAAAACAAAACAAAACAAAAACTCTTAAAAAATAATAAAAGAACAAAGGGCAGCCTCCATACACCCCATGTGCAAGATGGAGGGCCAGGTAGTTAGGGTCAGAAAGGGAGAGTGCCATGGGGAGATCTTGGCCATAGGGCAGCTGCTCATAGAGGTGAGATCTAGAACATGTTCAGCTGGAGGACACGTGATGTGGGATGATGTGAAGGCTACTGCAATAAATTTGGGCAAAGGAACTGTGACTTAAGTAGCAATTGTGAATTTAGAAAGTTGTGGGAATAAAATGGGTGGACAGAGAACACAGGCAAACTGCTGGGGTGGGACTATGTAGAATTCTGTGCTAAGGAACCCACACTCAGAAGCAGCGAGAGAAGAAAGATCCAGTCCATGATGTAGAGAGATGCCCAGAAAGTAGTCATGGGGCATGAGCAGGATTAGAACGCTGGGCCTTCTGGTTAGTAGAGGGTATGAGCCTCACCGCAGGCATTGTGAAGTGCTTCCTGGAAGATCCAGTGGCAGTTTACATGAGCGGGTGAAAGAAATGGAGAGAGAATGTATTTGAAGATGTAGAAAAGTTTGTCCTTAATAATATTAAAGTTGCGAAAAGATTTGTGGCAGTGTTTTGGACAATGTGTTTTAACCAAGGCTGCACAACAGAATAACCCGGTGGGCATTAATAAGAAGCACCAACAGACTGATTAGATCAGAACTTGGTATGGTAGGGCCCTGGAGTGAATCTTTGTGAAAGTGCCTCAGCTTGGTCTTCCGTGCTCTGAGATTGAGAACTATTGATTACAGGAAAGCATGGCTCAGGAGGGGCAGGCCTGAAGCAGGAGGAGGTGTTTGGCATAGACACTGTCATAGACAGGGTTTATGGGTAAAAGCAAGTAGAGAAACAGAGACAGGGAGAGAGGCTGGCAGGGAATTTTTTTTTTTTTAAAGAATGATTTATTTATTATTTTTTAATTTGACCAGAGAAAGATAGAGAGAAAGTGGGAAAGCAAGCTGCCAGGTCAGGATTTGAACCGTGGTTGGCCATGTGGGAGTCCAGTGCTTCAACCACCGCGCCACCTGCTGGCCCCCTGGCAGGCAATGTTAGCAGATGGGGTGCCAAGGAGGCAGGATTTCAGTAACAGAAAATCATTTCGAGCTAATTGGTCCCAAGGTTCCAATCCAAGCGTGGGTGTGAGGTGGTGGTAGCTCAGCCGAACTGTCTCTCCAATGTGCTGGATAGGCCGTTTACCTACAACTCGGATTTGGGCATCTCTGCATTATTAAAAGGCCACAAGGTGCAAGAAAGCCTCATCCATTATTCATATTTGTTTCAGGCTAAGTGCTGGATCCCCAGATGCTGAGAATTTATAAATGTCTATTTGGAAAACATTGACCATGAGGCAAGCTGCTCTTGAATCGTTCCACTGCCTAAAGCTGTTTGTCAGTCTTCCTGGGTATTGACCAGTTGAAGCAAGCTGCCAGGTCAGGATTTGAACCGTGGTTGGCCATGTGGGAGTCCAGTGCTTCAACCACCGCGCCACCTGCTGGCCCCCTGGCAGGCAATGTTAGCAGATGGGGTGCCAAGGAGGCAGGATTTCAGTAACAGAAAATCATTTCGAGCTAATTGGTCCCAAGGTTCCAATCCAAGCGTGGGTGTGAGGTGGTGGTAGCTCAGCCGAACTGTCTCTCCAATGTGCTGGATAGGCCGTTTACCTACAACTCGGATTTGGGCATCTCTGCATTATTAAAAGGCCACAAGGTGCAAGAAAGCCTCATCCATTATTCATATTTGTTTCAGGCTAAGTGCTGGATCCCCAGATGCTGAGAATTTATAAATGTCTATTTGGAAAACATTGACCATGAGGCAAGCTGCTCTTGAATCGTTCCACTGCCTAAAGCTGTTTGTCAGTCTTCCTGGGTATTGACCAGTTGCATCTTTTACTAATGAAAACAATCAAGGTTATTGTAGAAAATACAACATTTTTGCATGGATTTGTGTGTATGTCTGTTGAGAAGACAGGTTGAGAGTGCCTGAGTATACAAATATGCGTGTGAATATAAAATGTGCTTATCAAATAGTGCAAATATGCTAGAGAAAATTCATGGCATGCTTTTTTTTTTTTTTTTTTTTTTTTTTTTTTTTTCTGACCAGCAAAAAAAAAAGAAAACCCCCCCACACTTTTTTTTTTTTTAATCAGGCCCCATGGCTCCCCTACAGAAAAAAAAAATTCTTTAAGAAAAATTTAAGTCTAGCCTGATTTCTATCCATGCGGTGCCTTAGAAGTATCACATGCACGAGGAATGTAAAAGAGAAAACCTTAAGCTTTACGCTGGAACTGGGGGGGTGCCATCATTTATTCAATACCAGAAACTCCTGCAGGCCGGACCATCAAAACATGCCCAGCGACCAACCAGGTCTTCTCCTCAGCCCTGAGACTGTCCTGGTCAAATCCACCAAGAGGGACAGATTTTCTCAATAGTCTCCCTAGCTGGGCTCCTTTTTCCACTGTGTCCCTTAACATCTGTTCCCTAGGAGTCTAATTCTCAGGGGACCCAACCTGCAGCATTTAGTTTTCAGGACCTAGAACCACTCTCTGGATGGAAACTCCAGAAGGAAAGATCCTGATATTCAGGAAAAAATGTCTTCCCTTGGCCTCCTCAACTCCTTTTCCATCCACATCTTTCCTTCCTCCTCTGGGTGCCAGTCCTTCCTGAGCTCATGGCTGGTTGCCCCATCTCCTCCCTGTGCTGTAGACATGGCTCTGCAAGCAGCCCTGCTGGGGAGCAGTGAGCCCAGGCTGCTGGGCCCTGGACACTGCTTTCTCCACGAATAGCTGTGTGATCTAGAGCAACCTACTCGTGAACCCTCCTGTGCCTTGGGTGGCACATCTGTGAAATGGAGAGCGTGGTACCTTGCAGGGTTGGTGAAGATGAAAGAAGTTACTATAACATTTAGAATTACGCCCAGCATACAGAAAGAGCTCAGTGATGTTTATTATTTTCATGCTCATTTCCTCCTACTCTCTTGATAGTCTCCCCAAGTGTGCTGGTTGACAAATATTAATATAATTAGGATGGTTCTTAATCCTCTGTCTGAGGATCTGCTTTCTGTTCAGAGAACCACACCTGTATTTCCATCCCTTGTGTGTCTTTTTCTAGATACCCAATTCATACCTCTAATTCAGTATTCCAAGAAAAAAAAAAGCACAATTATAGACTGGGTGTTCGTGTCTGCCAATTCTTATGTTGTAATCCTAGCCCTCATTGTGATGGTATTAGAAGGCAGGATCTTTGGGAGGTACTTGGATCATAAGGACACTTGGTATTAGACGGTATTAGAAGGCAGGATCTTTGGGAGGTACTTGGATCATAAGGATAGAGTCCTCAAGAATGGGTTGAATTGACCTTACGAAAGAGAACCCAGACAGTTCTCCACCCTTCTCTCTGCAAGGGAGGACACAGTGAAGTGAGAATTCAGCACCATGTAACCCTCATTGAAGCCCAGCTATACTGTCACCCTGATCTAGGACTTGCAGCCTCCAGAACCATGAGGAAAATTGTTTGTTGTTTAAGCCGCTTGTTTTGTGGTACATTGTTATAACAGCCTGCACTGACTAAGGCACTGTCTCTAGACCTTAAAGTATCTGCCCCTGCGTTTGCCACTGCTTCTTAGAAGCAGAAGCTTGATCTCTGTAACACACCTTCAGTGTTAGTCCCAGACCCTGTAGATGCTGCTGGAACCAGATCCCAGATCTTCTGTACTTCTCGCTTCTCTGTCATCACCCCAGCTCAGCCAGACACTCCTTCTTAAGTAGACGCTATCTTTCCAGTGAAGCCAGACTAACATTTCTAACATACATTTCTAATTTTGTCTTTCTTCTGGTTAAATCCTTCTAGTTTCCATTAAGTTGAAAAGTACAGTTATGGAACTTCTCAACTGCTCTCTCTGGCAGTCAAGGTCCAGTGCAATCACCCCCTACCTATCATTCTAGGCTTACTGGAAATTACAGTCCTGCCTAGATCTGCATTTATCGTCACCTCTCTGTTCATCCACGCTGCTCCTTGCACCCAGAAATCTTGTGTCTTTCCCCATGACTGCTGGTGAAAATCCTTTTTCCACCAGGGTCAGTCTCCAATGTTAGCTTTTGTTTCCCCTCCAGATTTGATCTTCCATCTGAACTCCTGCAGAAGCCTGCATCTCAGCTGTAGCACTGATGACACTGGATCATCTCGTCTTTGCCATACTTCCTTTTATTCCTCCCTCTACATCATAACTTCTTCAAAGGCACTTATTATATTCCTTAGAGCTTCAAATGGAATAAAACGAATGGTAATAATCGCACTAGGAATTAAGCTCATTTATTCTGCAAAGCAGCAGCCTGTTGTCAAATGCCAATGCGCTCCCTCACAGCCCTCATAAAAAGAATGGAAAAGCATATAAATGCAGTAGCACACGAGAGGAACATACAGTGTGAGCAATTATGCCAATTCCTTTTATAGGAAGAACGCAGCTGAAATAAACACGAAAGCAGGTAATTTACCATCCACAGACCTCATTGCCAAATTCTTCTAAATTTTTCATTAAAAGAAATCAAGGAAGGTAAACAAAAGTAGCCCTTGGGAAAAATCAGCATAAAGGAAACAGCTCGTATATCAGTGTGGCATCAGAGAAACGTCTGCATTATCTGGCCAAACAGTGTGGTCACACACTTGGAGCATGCACACAGACCCATGCCAGTGAGTGCACACACGTCCATCCTTTGCCTCCATCCAGGTGGAGGTGAAGAAGGCGGGGTAGGCAGATGCTCCTACCTTTAGGGCATCCTGGGTGTCATCCAGGCAGTAGATGCGGATGCTGTACTCCAGCGACGAGCAGCAGACGGGCCCGAAGATGGCCAGCTTCAGGCGCTTGGCGGCCGCTTTGGTGGCAGACTGCCCGACCAGGGCATAGGTGCTGAGGTTCTCCACGAGGATGTGGCAGGCGTCGGCATCGAGCTGGACGTAGCAGGGGGTGGTGAAGTTCTCTTCTCCAACCACCACCACGTCCTGGGCAGGAGAGAAGGGGCCATGGTTAAGCCGTGGAGGCCTTGGGCTGGCCACCGTGGGCACGGGGGATGTGGTGGGAGGGCATGGCCTCTTCTCTGGAATCGTGATTACTCTTTCCTTTCTCCGGCTTTCCGATCCCTCGACATCCACTCTTGATCATCATCTCCCTTTCTACCATTGTCTTTACACCGGTACTATTTTTTTTATTTAGATGCTGTTTACTTAGCCCTTTTTGTTCTTCAGAAAATCTACATGATCAGAATCTACATGAAGATCTAGTAGATGATCATTGACTATGCTTTTAACGTCAGTGTACCTGAGTTGATTATCTGCTTCAGATAATTTTATGTTTTAATCTCTAAATTTCTTATGTAACCCAAAAGGGTGATTTTATTATAATGTCATTAAAGCATAGCAATTTTCCCTAAAAATCTACATGCTTGAAAAGAATTAGAGAAAGGAAGGTATTTACAGTACTATTCTACTAGGTTCCAAAATTCACCTGCCAGTAACTTCTGCCACTGCTTCTCCTAAGGAATTTTGTTACCAGACCCTATGGGAAACAAGATATGGTAAATGCCATGTTTTTAAGACATTTTTCTCTGTTGTTTTCCATGTAAACCACCAACAGTGTTATTTTTAGACTTTGAAAATATGAAGCAACAAGGGCCAGCAGGTGGTATAGTGGTTGAGGTGCTAGACTCCCATGTGGCCAACCATGGTTTAAGTCCTGGACCCGGTGGCTTGAAACTCACCCTAGGCATGTGTGCATGCATGCCCAAAATCCCGAGAAGAGAACAGAGCAGAAGAGATTGGGGCATGGCCATTCCCATAGGGGTGATTTTTTACTTTTTTCTCTCTCTGTCTCTCTGGTGAGTACATGTGCCCTATAGCAAAAATCTCTCAAAAAATATAAAGCAATAAATAAAAACAAGTGAAAGTGATGATTTTTATAAAAATAGTTCTTAATTCAACCAGATTTCCATTTATCCAAATGACTCAGTCCACACACACACAAATAATCTAAAAGACCAAGCATAGGATTCATAAGTCAAGGATTGTAATTCCAGATGCCTCCTGGGCAGCCGGGTAATGGAAATGTATGAAGTAGATAGGGCAGAAGACGATGGGGAGTGGTGGAGACTATGGTGCAACACAGGTCAGTTTCCACCCGGCTGCAGCCATGGCTGAAAACAGGACGGCAGGCTCAGTGAATTTTCTGAGAAGCTGGAAGTTAAGATTTTTATGTGTAATCTTCCAACTTCCAATGAATTCAGATTTAAAAGAGAAGTTCATGTGGGAGAAATAAAACACATGCGTGTGCATGATTCAGTCTCTGAATAAGGCTATTTAATCTTCACAGAGGCCGGAAGCGTTTCTACTTTGCTTCCCACTGTATCCCAGTGGATCTGGCCCAGTAAATGTCCAATAACCATTTCTTGAAAAAAATGAATGAATGTCTCATCACAAATGTAGTCCCCAGAGCTAGACAAAGATTTGAAAGAAGTAGCCACCTCAGGTGGTCATTTATTAGTTAGGTCTTAGAATATTGTCCGAGTAATACAGAGCTGTTTTAATAGCATCGGGGAAATCATTTCTTCT